TGTTGTGGGTTTTAAGAAGTGTTTCAAGCTATAGAAAATTTGACGACTATAATTGAAAGGTGTATGGGACTCATATATGTGTGGATTCTAGAAAGACTATGCAAAACATGATGAGATTTGTGAGATAGGACAGTTTTGCTTTCAAAAGCTAAGACATCAAAGGCTTCCAACCACTTGAAAATGTTTTCACAATATAGATCAAAGTATAATTTTCTCAGTGTTTATGTCTTTATCAGTTTCCGAACTTCTTCGTCTGCTTTACTAGCCTCCACCTGACCTTTGGTGCGTGAGGATCATTCAATCGGTGTAATTCACCTAAAGCATAAAAGTGTGGCTGGGACGTCTTAGTTTATAAAATCAAATCCCCACTAGTTGCTCAAGTTAGTGCAATTTTGGTAGTTGGCAGCGGTGATACTTTTTTATAATTCTTATCTCGGAAAAATAGTTCAACAGAGCAAGGAGCTCTTCAATAAGTATGCCAAGTGTGCAGGTGTGTTAACTGTAATAAATAGTGATACTTTTGGTGTTGTATTTGTAATAGTTTTTTATCTTAAATCTGCGTTATAGTTGACTCTTGTGATTTGTTGCTTTTTCGGGAGCGCTTTGGCGGTACCACGTGGCTATCCAAAAGGTGGACCACCGGCACCGCCACCAAGACCACCAGCACCACCTAGCGGAGGCTATTCGTATCCACCGCCGAGTGGTGGTGGTGGTTCTTTTGATGGTGGCGGCGGTGGTGGTGCTCCAGGTGCAGGTTCTGAGATACCAATTATCAAATTGGAGTCCAAAATTAACATCGACGGTTCATATCAAGTAAAGACACCAAATTAGAACCCCAAACAGAAATGTGAATTAATTTTTAAATTATAATTGTAGTACGAATATGAAACCGGTAACGGCATCAATGCACAGGAGTCCGGTTATGTGAAAAACGCCGATGATCCTTGTAATGCAGTTTTAACTGCTGAAGGCTCGTTCTCCTATACCAGCCCGGAGGGCCAATCATTCCTTGTCACTTATACAGCCGATGAGAATGGGTTTCGACCGCAAGGCGATCATTTGCCCACACCACCACCGATACCGCCAGAGATACAAGATGCATTGGATAAGATTGCTGCTGGTGGCGGACATCCTGCTGATGGTGGTGATGGCGGTAGCGGTTGTCCTAACGGCGGTGGCGGTGGCTGTCCTTCTAGCTGCAATGGCGGTGGTGGCGCAGCTCCAGCTCCAAATCCTGGCTATCTTTATTAGGATTTGAATTTTGCTTATATAAATAAATAATTAGTAAACATTTATAGATGTCAATAAGGTGATGATTACATGAAAATTTAATATTTCTTCGGTCGTTCACGTGACTTTTTTCCAGTAACAATAATAAAAAAGATGTAAATAATAAACAAAAAATAAATGTTAATGAAATGTTGAGTTAAAACAAAGTTTTTCTTTATCAGACGTAGTTTTCATGCAAAAAGGTGCATGACGAATCTAATCCGTGCCTAAAGTGTCTTCCTGTTGTTAGTAATTATTGGAATAGGACCACATTATAATTTGAAAAAGCAAGGTTGGAACTAATTTCACCATTCCTCTTGAAATTATCCATATTAGACAGACACTTTAAGCAGCTAGAAAAGGTAAGTTTTAAGTTGAGTTACTTTAGGCCAACGCAGTTAAGACCTGATCTGTATAGATCAATAGAAAGATTTATATTTATTTCTACAATCAAAAAGGATAATTTATATTTCAAAACCCTAATATGCTGTTTGAAATAACAGATATTCGTCTGTTCCAACGACACTCAGATCTATGTAAGCAAAACAAGCCATTTTTTTAACAGACCATCAACAGTCAACTTAATAGACATGACTTGGGGAATGCTTTATACTGCTACCACAACAATAGCAGGCTTTCTGGATGGTCTCTGCTCTCGGAATTTGTGGATTTTTGATGTACCATTTCCCATGAACTGCTCCATTTTAACTGCGTGTTTCGATATTATTATTACCTCTTTTTATGTTCGTGTGAAGTTTGACATCTATATATCAATTAGTGTATGTTTGGCAGCTATTTGTTTACGACGCGAAAAGTTTGTTCACTCTATGCTTATAACAAGCGTATTTAAAATAGGCATGCTTGTAGTGGCTCAAGAGGAGCCTAACAGCGATAATAAATATTTGTATTAGAATATGAAATAAGGAAATGTACTTTTTTTGCCATTTCGATTAATTTTTGATCAGATGGTATTTGGCTATATCTAGAGGATATTTATATGAAAGTGCGAAAAGTAAAAATAAACAAGTAAGGAGGGGGTAAATTCGGATTAAACCCAACATTTCATACTCTTACAACTTGCCACGATCAAATCTGAGGAAATACTTCATGCATAACGATACATTGTCATTGATTATCAATTTTATTAAGATAGCTCACATATTGACCATATATATGCCGTATAAAGACAGCTGGAAGTTCAAAAATTTTTTCGTTAGGTATATAGAGGCTAAGGGAAATATTTACTTATCCACTTCAACATATTCTTGACACACACAGACATACTGTTATTAGAAAAGAATTCTTTCCGAATTTGTATAATATAAGGTTGTCATATATCTCCCTTCCGCTTTTTTGTCTTTTGAATTTCGCGGCTATGTACAAAGCGCTACAGAGCTCGTATCTGGCAACACTATACATAATTTGAAAGGTCTTGAAATAACCTACAAAACAACGCTATGCATGATTAGTTTGGATATTGCCTTCAACAGTTATAGACGTGTAAACATGGAGTTCACTAACGCCGAAATTCGCGCTATTTTAAAGTTTTCCTTCGTTAAAGGCAAATCCGCTAGAGAAACGTTATGTGAGATTAATGGTGTTTTGGGGGATGGTACTCTATCACTTCGAACCGCGGAGGAATGGTTTCGACGATTCAGAGCCGGTGAAAACGACACCATGGATAAGCCAGCCGGCGGAAGACCTGTGACGACAAATACCGATCAAATCATGGAATACATCGAGTTAGACCGGCATATGGCATCTCGTGACATCGCCCAGGAGATGGGAGTTAGTCACCAAACCATTTTGAACCATCTGCAGAAGGCTGGATACAGAAAAAAGTTTGATCTTTGGGTGCCGCATAATTTGACGCAAAAAAACCTTCTGGACCGAATCAACGCCTGCGATATGCTGCTGAAACGGAACGAACTCGTCCCATTCTTGAAGCGGATGGTGACTGCCGACGGAAAATGGATCACATACGACAATATCAAGCGAAAACGGTCGTGGTCGAATTCCGGTGAATCGTTCCAAACAGTGGCCAAGCCGGGATTGACAGCCAGGAAGGTGTTTCTGTGTGTTTGGTGGGATTGGAAGGGAATCATCCACTATGAGCTGCTCCCACATGGCCAGACGCTTAATTCTACCATCTACTGCGAACCACTGGACCGCTTGAAGCAGGCGATCGACCAGAAGCGTCCAGAATTGGCCAACAGGAAGGGTGTAGTGTTCCACCAGGACAACGCCAGACGACACACTTCGTTGATGACTCGTCAGAAGCTACGGGAGCTCGGATGGGAGGTTTTATCGCATCCACCATATAGCCCGGACGTAGCGCCAAGTGATTACCACCTGTTCCTGTCCATGGCGAATGCCTTTGGTGGTGTGAAGTTGAACTCAAAAGAGGCTTGTGAAAAGTGGCTGTCCGAATTCTTCGCAAATAAGGAGGGGGGCTTCTACGAGGAAGGTATTATGAAGTGGCCGTCTAGATGGAAACAGATCATCGAACAAAACGGCGCATATTTTAACTAAATCCGATCACTGTAACACTTTTTATAAAGCATTGAATGAAGAGCAAAAAAGCGGAAGGGAGATATATGACAACCTTATATATCTCGCAGATTGACCGATATTTTCATTAAAAAGTTCGCAATAAAAACTAAGGTTCAGATATTCGGTATCTGGGGGCTTAGACAGTTTTGCTCCGATGTAAACAATTCTTGGTCATAAGGTGGCACAACTCAAAAGCACTATTCGTGCAAAGTTTTATCTGGATCCATTCATTGGTTCTTGATTTTTATACTGGAAAGTGAAAGAATCATATGGAATTTAAAATCGTGTTGAAGAAAAGTAGGCTTTTGTCTGAATTTTGACACTGTATTGTAGAAATATTAGAATAATAGTACGTACCGAATTTGGTTGAAATTGCTAAAGTACCACGCCCATCTTACAAGCTTGACACCTGTTCCAATAAAGATCTCTTATATTCTCTCGGGAGTAAAATTTCATGTCTCTGGCGCATTTAGTTATAGATTTATCATACTTTTAATAGCTTTTAACAAAACCGTTATACGGGGAGTGGGCGGTATTATCATCCGGTTTTACCTATTTTCACCCTATCGTAAATAGGATTGAAACAATTTGTCTGGTGCAAATTTAGGTATTGTATAGCTGAATTGATTTGGAAGATAGATACATTAAACTTATTAGGAGGCGTATCCCGCCCACTTTCAAAAGATTTTCAAACCACAGATCATCTGTGACAGATGCCCCTCTTTAATGTGATATGTTGCGTCAAAGTTGAGTTCTATATCTTAATTTACGGCTTAGTTATAGAAATTTATACGTTTTCGATTAATAGCATTTTGTGGGTGTGGCAGTAGTCCGAATACGCCCACTTGTCAAGTTTCGTCAAGATATCTTAATTTTTACTCAAGTTACAGCTTGCATGGACAGACGGACGGACAGGTAGTCACTCGGAATTCAACTCGTCTTGTCATCCTGATCATTTATACATACATATAGAACTCAATATCTATTTCGATTAGTTTTAGACGATACAAACAGCCGTTAGCTGAACAAAACTATGATACTCTGTAGCAACATGTTGCAAGAGTATAAATATTATATATTTTTATATTGACTTGCAGTATGTACAATATTTTTACTCTTTTATTATAAACCAATATATATGGATTCTCTCACTTGCTTTTCACACGCAGTCAACGCAAAAATGTTAATCAATTTGTTTGTGAATTGTGTGTCAAGCTAAAATAATTAATTGATTTTCTAACATTAAACAATGTGAAAATGCCACAAATAAGAGTAGTTGCGCTTTAACAATCAATCTACGCAATAACTCATTGACTACGCCACAACTCAGTCGTTGATAAATGAATTTCTTTACAGATTTGCTAAATATCGATTTGGACATAAATTACTAGATTTAACGAAAACAAACAAATATAAACAAAAAATTTTAACGTGAGTACAAATAAATAGTTAAAAAAATACCTATCAATGTACGAAACACATTAGGGTGGAACTTTTTATTTTTGCAATAAATTTAAACATTTCAAGAGTTCACGATGAGATTGTATAGTTAAAATCTATGTTTGGAAATGACTGTGCAGATCTTCATAACTGAAATATCCGGGAAGATTTGATTGTCTGCCGTGAATCTGCTAATTGTCGTTTTTCGCAAAATATTTATTAATGATGTAATTTACTTTATAAATTATATTATTATATGATATATATATATGATCTTATAGATAATTTTAAAAATAATAACATAAGAGATCTAACTGACATAATCTGTCATTTATCAAAATAATTTATATAAGCGGAGTTCTTCTAAAGAAAGAGTACGAAAGGTAAGTTGAGGCAATGTTTTAGAATACAAGCATAAAAAATTAATAGAAAATAGTACCAATAATTTTAAACTAACTTAAAATATATCAAAGTATCTATTAGTAGTAGCTGTTGTAAAGATTTTGACATATCTTCTTCTTCTCGTTTAGTGGATGGAATTTTGCCGCCCTAAAGCGTACGCCAATGAATGTGCCGTTGTCTGTTCTCAAGCACATAACGACCATACGTAGTTATTTTGTATTTGTGAGCAATTTTATTTACAAACGGGAAACCTCAAATACAATTGACATTTTGCAAATCTTTTGTTTTCTTTCTATGCTCTTGAAAAACGATGATATGATCATTTGAATTTGTTGTTTCTTGAATTATCTTTTTCTCTGTTTGCAAATCTCTCCGCTTTTAGGTGTATTGTAGCCAGTCTGGAGAAACTTGTCCAATAAATTATGACGTAATCTATTATTATTGTATTTCGCCGGTTTGAATGATCCATCCGTTGGTGGCTTATGCTCTTGTTCATTAGCATAAGCTCTAAGTGATGTCAAAACAAAAGGAAAGACACACGTACACATACATATGAACGCATGTATTCTTAAAAAAGGCAAAGATTCAAGCGGAATTTTCTACGAATATTTTTATGTGTGCGTATAAAAAAGTTGAGAACGCAAAATTTACCCGTCTGATGCTTTTTAGAGTCGCTAAATGAAACGAACTAGTTTAGTTTGATTGCAAAACTTAAGGAGAACACAACATTCAAGCGCAGTGTTTCACAGTGAAGTGCTCAAAGGTACCAAAAGAAAAACAAGTAATATTGATCAGAAGTTTTTGGTGATTTACTATATATTTTGACAAAAGGATTTTTAAATTGTGATTGCATTGTGGTAAAAATGAAGATGCAAATGGTAAGTAAAATCATGTAATACATTTTTTTTTATTAAAAATATAATTTTTTTAGTGGCAAATTTTTTACGTATATTCCTGCCAGAAGCAGAAAAAATATGTTGGCCATTTCTCTATATTTCCTTAGCATGTGTTGGTGAATGACGTATTGACAGTTTAAGGGGTTTTGAAATAGAAATGTGTAGCATATTTTGAGGATACTAAAATACTGATATATAAAACAGCTATTATTATTGTTGCAGGTAGTAAGTAACTGTTTAAGTAATATGGTTTTAACGTACCGATATATATAATATTTAATGTTTGTATAGTACTTTGAAATTCCAGAAAAAGACGTTCTGTGCCGGTATATGAGGACTTAAATAGCTGTGGTCCAATTTTGACAAATTTTAGTCTTGAGATTGTGGGGATTAGTGAAGATATAGACCTGTCCTTTTATATCCACAATTTATACATCAATAAAAAAATTGATAAACAGGTGAATCTGGGGGCTCGGTTCAACGCCAAATTTTTTTAGACTTATTTTGCTTGAAAACAATACAAGTGAAAAGAAATTCATTATTATTGCATTTTACTGCTTCAGTCTCTATATCAGTATATGGTGTTAGAAAAATAAGATTTTGTACTAAAAAAAACTTGGTAAACATTGTGATTGCTTGAGCGTGCGTCAAAGATGGACACCGGAAAAGAGAAAATGCGCCATATTTTACAGCTTTACTTCGATAAAAGCGAAAGGCGCATGGCAGGCGCTTGAAAATGCGAACAGTCTTTATGATTTTAATAATGTACCAGCCAATCACACGCAATTTTGATTTAGTCGATCCCGTTCCGGCAATTTTGATTTTAAAGAAGCCCCGCGATTTTTATTTTGATTTTCCAAGAGCCGAAAGTTGCTCAAAAACAGACCTAAATAATATTGGATATAAAAAAATCGATGTATGAATGCCGCACGATAACTGGTGATGAAAGAGGGTCACTTATGATAACGTGAAATGAGAACGCTCCAGGCTGCATTACAGTGAACCGAAAATCATATCATTCTACCTTTTTCTAAAGAAAACTTTAAATTTAATGCAAAAGTAAGGGATTTTGTGACCGAGTGAAAATTAAAAAAACTAAAAGTGGAGACAAAAATTTAAACAATCAATAGGTTTAGACTATGATAACGGAAAGCGCCAAATCTGTGGATGTATTTAACATATTATAATTTATTCTTTTATCACTGAATTTGACGTAATGAAAATCACGCCTAAACAATAAATATTTCTTAGTAATGACATAATTAATAAAGTTAAAATCGACTTCCTTCGCTTGCTCAATATCCTGTTGGTATGAGCAACAGTATTACCGTAATATAATAAACTTTCATACGAAAAGTGTTTCAAAAATTCTTGTTTTAACCAGTCATAAAATTTTTAAAAGCATATTCTAATTAAAGATTAAGAATGAATAAATAAAACGAAATTAAGATGTAAATTTTAGATTAGATAAACAATTACTGATAATGACATTCTTTTTTTGCAGATCTACAGTATTGCTTTAATTTTATTCGCGCAAACCCTGCATGCGATGGTCATTGAAAGCCGGGAAAATGGCGAACAGTTATTGCATTTCGGGTAAGTGTACATAAAAAACAAACAAAAGCAACAATTTGTTGAAGCAAAAGAAATCTGTTTATTTCGAGTTTAAGTTCTTGCTTTCATTGTTTGAATGCTTTGCTTATAAAGCATTGGCTGTGTGCCTGCCTTTCTTTTTATGCAGATTATTTTCGCTCTATATAAAATATTTATTTATATTCGGATTATGATATCATTTCGTTAGATAGCGGTGACAACATATAAAGGCACTTCTAAATTTTATTTCAAAAATTCACCTAAAATATTTTGTTTGCAAAATTAATTTGTAGGCAGAAAAAACTAACGATTTTCAACTTTTATCGCTTTCTCTCTCTCCAATTTGATTTATAGCTTCCAAACAGAGAATGGCCAATCGCGGAGCGAAGACATTAAATACAATAACACCCAAAATGTGATAAGTGATAATCGCGAGGAAACGAGCGATAAAGCTGCTACGCCCGTGAAATCTGTGGAATATCGTGGTGGTTACAGTTTCATCTCTGCTGATGGCTACGAGTACACCGTGCTCTACAAAGCGAATAAGAACGGTTTCCAACCCTATGTTACTGCACGCAAAATACATAATGATAAAATTTGAGCAAAAATAATCTTATGAAAAAATGCTATATGAATATAATATAAGTCCCTTGCAAGTATTTATATATATTATTGTAATGATTACTTGTGAACCCGTATTTTAAGTTGTGATAACGAAATACATTTAGGTTATGGTATTGTATCTTGCGAAATAAGTAGTGGCGCTTGTATGTAAATACTTTTATGCAGATTACAATTATAAATTTGGTAAACAATTTGAAACTAAAGGCCTTTTTTATTTTCGTTCGAAGTTAGATATTTTTATCTTAATTAGTGTGTGTTTGTCAGAGTTTTTTTACGACGCGAAAAGTTTGCGTGTTCATTTTTACCATGAAAAAAAGTGAACAACGAGTTTGCGTGTAATTTTGTTTATAAAATGGAATCATAACTACGGTATCATTGAAAATGTTACAGAAGTGCTTTGGGGAGACAACTTTATCACGAACACAATTATTTGAGTTGCAAAAAGCATTCAGTTAAGGTCGTGAAGTATTTGAAAGCTTGTCTCACGCGAGACGTCCATCCATTTCTGTTAATGACAATATCATCAAAAAAGTTAAAGAAACTGTGCTTGAACATCGTTGTGTTGACATCAGAGAGATAACTGAGTATATCAACATCTCTTATAGATCGACTCAATATAATTTGGTTAATGTTTTGGGTACAAGTTGTACGACGACCTGAGTACCCTACTTACTTTATAAATATGAAGTTGAAATTGGCGTTCCAAAAATGAAATCACTAAACCGAAAAAACCAAAACTCGCTGAAGGTACTTTAGGCCATTCCAGCAGAGGCGTAAATAAGTGTATGGGAAATTGGCATATTCGTATTAGCTCAAAAGCTCTCTTCAAGACGTCTCACAGTAAATTAGTAGTAATAACTTGATGTTAAAAATATGAGTTTTAAAACGGTCATTTGGTTTATGAGAGCAGAGCACTAGTAGAAATAGGAGCCTTCAACGAGCTACGAAGTACCGAAGGATTTCGAATATATTCGGCCATAGCCAAACCAAATAGAAAACAAGCAATTTTAGCAAATTAATCGCGCTATTTATTGAATTTAGGTGACATGGCTGCTATTTGGGTAAAATTATTTTTACGCCAAGGAATCATATACAAAATGTGTAAACTAAAAATTAGACATTGGCGTTATAAGTGTATATTCAATTGCGAATATAATGATCACTAAGTGTGCTTTTTCTTAAAAAATATTCAAATGATTTACTTATGATGCTGCAGATTGGTTTAAGTCTCGAACTAGGTTTAGCACTTAACTGATCAAAGCTTGAATAAGCTCACCAATAGTGGGTTTGTGCATTTGCTTATGTGTTTGAACAAATATGATTGTAAATAGTTAACATTTTTGGATTGAATTTACTATCTACAATAAAAATTAGATAAAATGATGCAAAGAATCCCGTTTATAAGCAGGAGAGAGCAAGACATTTGAGCTTTACCTGAAAGTATTGAATTCAAAATTATAAATTAATTAAATGGCTTTTGCATTAATTCGAAATGAAACACTTAGTAGGTCTTTATTTGTTGTTTTTTTTATTATAGTTTAATCATTACTTTTATTTCATTCAAAAAAATTTTGTACACTATAAAGTTTATTACAGAATAATAAGTAAAGGAATGGATAAAAATCAAATTAAATATTCAGTTTTTAAATTTATTGTAATTATAATTTTTTTCTTAAATCTTTTGCGTTTACTATATGAAAATGAATGAAATATGAATATGTTATTTAAAAATGTATATGTATATGCACATATTTATTTTGGTATGTTCCAATTTTAGGTTAAAACGTTATTGTTTTTTGTAAATCCTACATTGTTTGCATGCAAAATATTATTAAGCTTGTTTGTTTATTGAAAAATCGCCGCCACCAGAATACACAGATTATTTGGCCAGTTTCAATCAGATTAATACATTATTTCTATTTATTACATTGAAATATGCCAAACTTGCCTCTCAATAAACTGAATGTTTGACATTGAGTTGTCCATAATAAATACAAATAATGCCAAGAGGAAGAGCTTCATTAAATTGTCTTGTAATTATACATTTAAAGTCGCTCAAAGCACGTACTGTTCATATGTAAGCACTGTGCATAAAGCAAAAAAGAAATTCCGTCAAACGCTATGAACTTTCTTGAACGGCATTGACTTATGTACAGCATATTAAAAATGTATGCGTATGTGATGGATTTTCGGCGGTTTTCAAATTAAATCACATACAAGTGCCAGTGATCAGCTGTAGTGATGGTCAACAGCAAGAGCACGGAATAAAGTACTTGACAAATTGTACAGTTACGACATGTATATCTATAAATTAACCACAAACATGAACAGTGAAGTAGCAACATACATATGTACATACATGCACTATCTTAATATAATATGAAGTAAAAACAAATAATTCAACCAGTAAATAAGCTCAAGTAGCATCAGTCAATTGTTGTGCTTCTATTTTACACGTTTCACGCACATATTCCGCGCCCTGCCTGATTGATTGGCATTCGAGACGAAATCAAACCAAATTTCAACGCCAAACCAAAGACTTAAATAACGAACTCGCATGCACAATTAAACGGAAAATAAGCACATGTAATAGGATAACTTTGCAACAACTCTATCAACAGTTGTGAGACACAAATCAAATGTGTTGGTAGTTGTTGGTGGTAAATTACTAACAACATTCACAAAAATAGACAACAAGCACTTTTGATTTCCTCGACGCTGCAGCACGCTGTGTTGAGTGCCACTCAGGGCAATGCAATAGCGCACAGGCAGCAGCTGTTATTGTTTTGGTTGTCTATTGCTGCCAATCTGCTGAGTTGTTATCTATGGTTTTTCGAATATTGCTTTTTTTTGTTTTTGCTTGATTGCTTTTTGTGCTGAAAAGCAAAAATATGTGACTACTCACACATGTATTAGGTGAACGATTGTTCGGCTATTCGGTTGTGCGATTTGGCTAAAATAAAAATTTGAGTGGAAAATTGTAATCATTTTGTTTGTGGCAGTGCAGAGGAACAGTTGCAATTGTTGGCAATATGATTGATACAAAAATTGTAAGTAGCAAGTTGGCTAAGGAAGACAATGTGGGAGACGATTGATTTTACAGTTTCGCTGAATAGCGCAATAGTAGTGAATTACTAGCTGCATTTAACTGATTTATATTATAGTTGCAGTTCTTGGCGTTGATCGCATTCATAGTGGCGTGTTGTGAGGCGCATTATCCCTATGGTCAGCAATATTACAACCACCAGCATGGCGGTTACAGTAATCAAAATGCCAATGTTAACAATTACAACAATATCAACAACAATAACAATGTAAACAGTAATTACAATCCCAACAACATTCAAAATAACAACAATAATAATAACAGCAACAGACGCAATGCACACAACAACAATCCATTGTTGGCAATAAATTTGCCAAAAATCTACTTGGGCGATTTCGAGTATATGCCCACGCCCGACGGTTATCGCTTCTCGTAAGTAATCGTTGTCATTGCAGACAGTCCATTACATAGTCTACACTGTCAATTCTGCGAATGAAAGGATTTTCGCAAAAAACACACACACACACTTACATACAAACATTTACATGCTTACAAATTGTGAAATGTACCTAAATTTTCGCCTTTACAGTTACCAACTGGCCGATGGCACACGGCGCACAGAGGTTGGCCAAATTCCCAACATCGCCAATTCTGGTATCTATATGTCGGACGAGCGTTCCACAGCTGAACGTACTGCTCTTCGTATGCGTGCCAGAGCCAATACGAAGAATCGTAAATTATCACCGAAATCGTTGCAATCGCTGGCGGGTTGATGGCTTGAGCTGCAGGGTGCAGGAGTAGGGGGTATGGTGTAGAGAGAGCTAATAGCTTAACTAGCGTGAATTGTTGACTCACAGAGGTGTTGTATGTAGCGTGTGCGCATGCGCGTATAAACCATGTCAGGCGGTCGTGACAGCGTGTTGCTACGAGTAGTAGTAATGGTCAGCGTGTCAGTTGCTTGACCTGTTGACATTCTTTCGTTAGGTTTGTGCTAAAACAATCTAAAAGTATTTTTTCTATCCACTTCTTGGAATAAGTGTATTTATATTCATTCAATTTTGAGCTTGAACGTGTTTTTGTGTCTAAGGGTATTTTTGTTGTTGTGTGTGTTTGAATATTAAGGAATTTAGTACCATAAATATTATTGTTGTTTTTGTTGTTGTTAAATTTTTAGTGCTATAATTAAGTATGATTAGAAAGTCTGGGGGAAATCCACCATTTCCTCAAAGTTTTTAAACAATAAAATCCAAAACGCTTATATAATATCGCTTTTATTTGTTTGCACTCTACGGGGAACTTTTGTATTTGCTTTTGTCTTTGAGAATTTCATTAAGTTTGGCGCTTACTTCCTACAATCTATTTAACTTTATTTTAAATTCTTCTAAGCCGCAATTCTGTGAAAAGAGCAAATAATGTGAACAGTCAGTAGTTCAAAGACTGGTTTCGTTTATGTATAAACTCAAATTAATAATACAAACAAAAAATCATTGAAAATTTGAAATTTAATAGTAGCAATATGAGAGACTAAAAGATTGCGCAAGAAAGGTTAGAGTCAAATACATTTGAATAAACACTTGTGCATGGCTTTGTTTAGATAAATCAAATAAATTTTTTGGAACCTTGCCATGTCAAATTTTTGAAAGACCCCTAATTATGTATGTAGGGGAAGGGTATAGCCAAAATGCATATGATTTGAGAATTAATTAAAAAATCATTAAACCTCTTGCGGATAAATAAGATATGTATGATATGAATTAATAATATGTTTCGAAATTTGTGCAATTAAAATTTTAAAAAAGAGACCTTTAGAAATATTTAATCATTACTGCCAATTGCATAATTTTTGTAACATTTAGTTATTTTTACTATGACTAGATTGAGTCTATTCTAAAATCGTCCAGTATTTCTCGTAGGGTTTAATTTATTTACAATTTCACATATCCTCTTACTCTTGCACTTCGCTGGCAAGGAAAGGAAATCAAATAAATAAAAATACATATTTTTTTCATAGGTTAAGTATACATAGCAAACTAAAATTTTAAGTCGATATCCCAATTAGTTTTTGAGTTACAGGCTTTTAAAATGAAGCCGCTTAGTTAAGTCTGTCATTAGGCGCGAGTGTTTACTTGGAGATAAATGACTCAATCACTATAATGTTTTTCTGTATCTTCTGTATATAGTTTTCCATCCAATGACCTGCTAATTTTTTGATCTGTACGAAAATAGCGTTTTGGCAGGCCAAAATAGACCAAAATTTTCGGTAAAATTAATTTTTTTAAAACTCCGCCATTTGGATAATATTTTCTATCAGAGTTTCTTTTTAAAGTATTTAATTTTTTGTTTTAAAGTTTATCCTTAAAATATGTATACATGTAAAAATTAAACAGTACTCGTAATTTTTTTTTTTTGAATTTCCGAATTCGCCATTTTTATGCTGTTACACTAATTGTGGCCCTTAATCAATTCGAAGTTAGTGACTTTCATTTCACATAGGACACCTAAATTTGTATATACTTAAATCCACATGACTGGGTCTGCAGCAACATGGAATGGAAATTATACAATACAGAACATGTTGTGTTGTTGTGGTTGTTGTTATTGTAGCGGCAGAACTCGACCGAGTTGATATTCCTTCGCCTAATAAAAATTTGGATTCGTTTCGGTTACGTAGACCCGACTGTCGTGGGAACGGCAGAACGTGTCATTGTCACTGTCCGAGGAAGCTAAAATGATGTTTCAACAGTGACATAGTACCCATAAAGAAAACAGATCGAGATCATAAACCTTAGAGTTATCAGAGAATAATCAGATGTAGGAGCGTAAAAATAAAAACGGATAATTTAAGGTTTTTATAATATATGCGTATATTTTATATTGTTATAAATATAGAACTTTTAGTCGTAATATTAATAGGTTTTTTTACTTAAATAAGCAAAAGCCAAATATTCGAAATCATTTTGTGCAGACTAGTGTAAAAGATCCGCAACAAAAAACTAACTGTTTGTTACGTTAAGATATATAAAAACATCATAGATCAATTTGAATAACTTTATCATTCCAACTCAAATGCCACTGGTAAATGTTGCCTGGACGTACAGCATAGATTAACATACATGTTAACGAAATTGGGTTAGGCTTTTAAGCTTCAATTGTGTTTCTAACAGTGAGCTAATAGTCAACAGCTGCTGCAAAAATAGTAAGAAGATCAACGTTAACATTTTATTAGGAAATTGCTTTAAGAGCTTTTGAGCTAAGATTATTAGTAAGCGGATGTATAAATAAAATTTAGTACAGTTTATAAATATGAGCTTTATAGCTTTAACCGCCTAAAAATATGCTACACCTATGGATTATTATTTCATGACATCTTCTGCTATTTTATATAATTTTATGCTTTAAATTTATAAGTGTAAAAAAAATTACAGGCAATATTGCTATTTAGCTTCATTTAACAATTGCATTGTTTTATTTTAGAAAAATTAAAAAGAAGTAATATTAATGTGTGATTCTTGATTTTTGATTTTGGAAGAGAAATCGCCCAGTGAAATCAAAATGCTCTTGGACACCAATACTTTGTCTGTTCTTTTTTAACAGTGATCTTAAGAAATCGGGGTTTTAACGTTGTCGCTCCTTTGTTTTCGATAAGCTCGGCCCATGTGAAATCCGAAGCAGTTTCTGTGTCGTTTAAAGACAACGGACCGTGAACCTGCCCGAAGTATGACCTCACCTAACTTCGCAATCACATGCAAAGGTGATGGTTTTCTGGGATTTAAAAGATGTGATTGACATCGGCTATGCTAAATTATTGGGCAGAAAAAGACAGACAGACATTCCATATAATCTGCCTCGGACGGTTAAACTACGCGCAAACCCGATCGAAAATTTTTTTTTTTTATTTTTGGTATAACCTTTTTCATGTACGTGTGAACTTTGATCTCTATTTGTCAATTAGTGTGTGGTTTGGAGCTGTTTGTTTACGATGTGCAAAGTTTGTCTGACGATTTTCACTAAAACAAAATGAACAACGAGTTTTCGTGAAATGTTGTTTTTTCCAATGGAATTACGGCTGTGAAAGAGTTGAAAACATTGCAGAAGTTATTGAGGAAATCTACTTTATCACGAATTCAAGTATTTGATTGGAAAAAGGCATTCTCTAAAGGTCTTGAAGTTCTCAAATCTGTTAATGACGATAACATGGAAAAAGTTAAAGAAATAATGTTTGGACGTCTTGTCGGCTTTAGAGAGATAGCAGAGGATCTGAACATCTCTTATCGATCAGTTCAACACATATTAGTTAATGCTTTATATATGAAGCGCGGTTATGCTAGTCTCGTACAAAACCCTTAATCTTTTGTGAAAATCACGTGGAGTAAAGGTCACAAAGGAGTTGCTTGTCAGCATAGCTGAGGACCCTAGGTTCATCAAACGCAACAACAGGATTTGTGGGCAGAAAATTTATGAATTTTTCACCACGATAAAACGCCGTCCCATTTCACTATGAGTGTGACTGATTTTTCGCCCAACGAAACGAGACTATACGGTTAGCCACCGCATTCCCCACATTTGGCTCCCTGTGACTTTTTTGTTTTCGAAGCTGAAAAATCCGCTTCGAGCACGCGCACGAAGCCATTAAGAGCCATTCGCGGAAGGCACTGAAGGGCATCCCAGTCGTGGCTGTAACATGTGTATGGAAAATTTTATCAAGCGTGGGCAAGCTGGTATTGGCTCAAAATAAAAAAAATTTAACTTAACAATAATGATTTATATTAAAAAACTTGAAAATTTGGTTTTGTTAAGTCTATCAATATGGTTAACATAGTGATTTTTATTAGTTTTTGGTATAAATTATCCAGATAACTCATTTGTATTGCATTCTTACATATTTGCGATATTTTTTCATTTTTTAATTATATATACTTGTGTTATAATAAAATATTGATATGTGTAAATTATAGAAGATTTTTTTTCAATGGGCTATTTTTTTGACATCCATCAGGATAAATAAATATTAATAAAATATATTACCCTAAGGATTAACATTACGCTGTACAAAACAACGTCCAATCCGATCCAATGCAATATTTATGATCTTTTAAATTAAAATTTCTTAAACTATGTAAACCTTGCGAAATATTTTGTAATGTTTAACAATTGGGACAACAATGAATAAGTCGTTTAATGAATTGGCGTAAAGAATCACAGAAATTCCTTCACATAAATACTGCCCATATTGATTAGAAAACTAATATATGTTCGTACGTAGATGTTCATAAATCATAAAGTAATACACATGCTATGGGTGGTGTTAAAAATGAAGATAACAGTAAAAAAATATAAAAAAACGGCAATTAGTATTTGGGTGTTAACTTTGTAAAGGCGAGACTGATAATGTAAACTACACACAACCTGAAACATGAAACCCCAATACCTGTGAAAAGCAAAAACAAACAAGAAACAACAAAAATCAATAGTAAAAATTTACGAGTACGACAAACAATGAGAAAAACGGTCAGTAGCACGTTTGTTGTGATGTTGATGATAGACGAAGTCGATGAAAGCGAAAGCAAGAGATAAAAGTGAATTTGGTTTGTGGATATAATCGAAGAATGAAACTGGTGTGGCCGCAGCGGGGAAGATGAATGTTTGAAAGCCAGCGTGCGCTTGTAGTCTGACGACCTTGAAATCGTAAATGTTACAGCAACATTAAAACAAAAATGAAAAAAAGAAAACAACAACAACAACGACGATAATACAACACATTTATCAATATAAAAAAAGTTGGCTCAGCAACAGCGAATGAATACAATGCCAACGCAAACTGGATTTTATGGTATGCGAAGAGGAAAATGCCATCGCAGTGCAGCGGCGGAAGGTGGGGAAGCGGCCAGAAGTTGACACCAAAAATTAATTGCCAATAGCTGTAACCAGAAGTGAACAGGCAGACAAGTAGCAACATCACAAAGTTTTTTAATATATTTTTTTTGCATTTTATTGTTGTTGTTGTGAACTGAAAGTAAAATGTTGGCAAGTTGGCGTAAAACACCGAATTTATGACAGAAGCTGAAAAAATATGCCAGCTTTTAAGCGTCCTCCAGCCGACAAGAACCTCTGTAGTACAAGTAGCGACAATGGCGGCGAATCTTGCCAGACAATGTTATTGGTATTGATAGTTTTCTTGCTGTTATCGATGACTGCTGTGGATTAGCAGCGGCTTTGCATACTTTAATTTATTATTTATACTCTTTTTTCGCTACACCTTTGTATTTGCGCAGCATCATGTGCGTCTGTAGTTACGTCATTACAGTGAGGAAGTTTATGGTTGAATGCCATCAGGCGAAGC